GGGAAAGGGAGGGGCAACTAGTTTTTTGGGCATGCAGCGAAGTTGTTGGGAGTTTGTGCTGAGCTCCCAGGATCAAGCTCAAAGGGAACCCCTCAGGGAATAGGGAAGAAATGTCAAAGCAGGAGAGGGAGTGTGCCTAGTGGGTCACAAGATCCCAAATGGGCTTCTGACCATTTCAATTTTTTCCAACCCTGATGCATTATTTATTTGTATTAGGAACTTATTTGTATTAAATTAGACAAACAGTTCATCTAACTGAGTATTCTGGATGTGATGGTGCCTAGTACCAAAAAGCAATTAAAGATCAGCAAGGAACTAAAGGTAACTTTGAAGTCCTTTTGTGGTTCTGATCCAATTTTATAGAATAAACTCTCTTTTCCTACACACTTACACTGAAACATAATACAATGTGTTTAGGAAAAAATTTTAAAGCCCAACCAAACCTTGTTTTTTCTTGCAGGAAAAAAAAGGTATACAACCCTCACATACGACAGTTATGGGTTATCCTGGAATATTTATATTGTTATGCCATTCTTTTCACTGGCGGCTGTCGCATGCCATTGAATGGTCCAGTCCTCAGCGACATGCTTTATGCACTGCAACTAGAATTAACGAATAGCACAAGAATGGGAGAGCACAGCAGTCACCATGCTAGAAGAGATGAATGGTGCCAGCTATTTTGAGTGGAATTTCACTAATGATACTAGCCCTAGTTTTATCACTCATCTCAGTTAGCAGCACTCAGCTTCAGTGAGCACTATAAGCAATAGGGATTGTATTGTCCAATTAGGAAGGATTGTATTGTCCAATTAGGATACCAACAAGAGAAATTTCTTCCTAATCCCTGCTTCAGGGCCTATACTGATCCCTAGAAAGAAAATATGTTGCTCTCATTTTTGTCATGCTTCATCTTAGGGACTCAAATGTATATGCAATTAGATGCTATAAGCCTGTTAGAAACATGAGGATCTATATTACAATATGATTATGAAAACTTGTTCTGCCTAGGGAGACTCCTGAAGGTATTAGCCATTTAGTGACTGCTTGCTTGCTTGCATATAAGCAATTGTTTAATTGCCACTGAACCGTGAGTAATTGAAAACTGTCTCCCAATTCAAATCTTGTTCAGCACTTGGTAGGCCCTCAAAAATATCTTAAGGCCATCTCACAATTCCTAGTGAGAGAAAACCAAGTTATGACTCCCCACAACCCTCCATCACATACCTTCAGCCTCCTCCAGCTTTTGGATTTGCTTCAGCACTGGCTGGATGTTGAGAAAGAGTCGGTGACTGTTGCTAAGGAGCTGCAATAGATGTCGTGACCTGAATGGGCAACCTGTATAGTAAACCAATTTCCGTGCAGAAGGCAAACCATCAGGCTGGATTTCAAATTTTTTCCCCTGGGAAAAAGTGGGACAGCGTTGAAAGGAAGCAGGTTTTCAGTAATTTGTGTAGTAGAGTGGCAAGAGATGCACCATTTTTTACTTAAACTCGTAACATTAAAAAAAATGCTTAGCACAGACAGTCAGACAAAACCAATAGCTTTGCCAGGTTCCAGGACAACCCCCCCCCCCCCCACCAGCCAGATGGCAGGCATTCTGCAACACTCACCAGAAATGCAAGTTTCCCAATGTGTGACCAAGGAAAGTCATAGAGGAGTTGACGGACATGGTTTACCTCCTGCAACATATCAAACTCACAATGACACAGGGATTGGCAGAGAGGGGTGGAGTTTGGGATGGGCAAAGCATTCACAGACAACCAAGAATGTGAGATATGTAGTCTGTTACACACACACACACACACAGGACATGGAAGTACAGAGGCAAGGGTAGAGGTGAAAAGGAGTGTGGCGAGAACTAGAAGGAGTTAATGCTATAGACCCAGGCTTTAATTTCATTACCTGATAGATGTGCATTCCTTTAAGGGTCAGGCCCAGGACAATTGTTGGGCGATCCTCCTTCTTATCCTAGAAGAACATACAGACGTCTGGGTTCAAAAGGTAAACCACACATAGGCCATGCTCTTACTTCAGCAAGTACTGCAACCATGCAGCAGGATCATCCCCCGCAGCAGAGGTTATCTAAATGTCATGCCTCCCTACTCCTGGTGGATTTTTTTTTTTTTTGAAAACACTGTCTTTTTGCTTCTTGAAAAACACATGATAAAACTGAACATTGTGCTTGGTTAGTTCTTTTCTTGCCAGGATCGCATGCATTCCACCAAACCCCAAGGACAATGTACAGCCACTAAGATGGACTCCAGCATTACTATATTCAAAGGATGGTCAATTATTTAACTAAGAGGTTATCTGCAGGTGATTACAGTCAGAAGTAATATGCTGCTTCTGCTATCCCTTAGAAGGCACCCATCTCTCTGGATGACAAAGAAGCAGAGACAGAGCCAACTTGGTATAAGGCCCCTCTGTCCCACCTTCTGGCTGTTCCTGTTAGTAGCCCTACCACAGCAGTGGTACCAGCCCACAAAAACAGACTTACTGAAGTATCTTGCGATGCAGCCTTGGATTTAGAAAAAGGATGAAGAGGCTGACTGCTATTTACTGAAGGATTTATTTATATTTAAGGGTTTAAAAGGGTTACTGTGACCTCCACCCTACTGTACTGTATCAAGGCAAGTACACTCATCCAACAATGGCAACTCGATGCATTAACAAACAATTAACTTGTGTAAAATGGGTTATAGTCCTGTGTTTTCTTAAGTAAAGTGCTTCCTAGCATGTACTGATGTTGAAGGGTCCCACACCCACATGCTCCCCCTGCCACAGAAACTGGTACTCCCTGGGAACAAGCAAAATAATGCCATATTATGGGAATAAAAGCACAAGCCTTGACATTAGAACTTCCCCTCTTCCCACATGGAACTTTTCAAGGTACAGGCCGTACTGCTACACCCACGTGGAGGGAAAGAATCCAGTTAGAAATAGTTTGGAAGTCTTTTTGGTTTTGTGCTCCCTAAATGGAGACAGTGGAGAGAGGAAGAGACTGATGCAATACCTTCCTTCTCCAACCATGCACAGACAAGCTCATTAACAGCCTTAAAAGACATGAGCCATGCTAGCCCAGAGACTAGGAAATTCAAGACTTCACCACGTCTCCCATGAATTGGCACAATATCCTGACATCCACGCCTTCCTCAGTTAGTGTTTCCGGCACACTAGCTGCAAGACAGAGTTTTGTCATCCAAGGATCACCCAGGGCAGATAATTAGCCATTTACAAAACTTCCCTTGGGGTGGAGGTGGCAGTGGGAAGGCAAGTGTACCATGATCACAGCAGTGCACAAAAGAATTAACACATGCAACATTTCAAGGCAGACAAGAATTCTGACCATCGGGCCAACCAATTTCACACCCTCAGCATCTCTAGACATAAATTGTGTCAGGTCCTGTCAAGCATATTTCTTGCAGCCTTAAAGTAAAAGCCACACTTTCTTATGCCTCCATCACTAATGACCTTAGATTCAAAGGGGTAGAAGAGGAGGGAGTGACTATGGCTTATGAGAGGTTAAACCAACATCATTAGAATCTGAACCCACACTTGAACGTACTTCCTTTAAAGAACCTGAAGCTTTATTCCTAATGTTTTTGTAGTAAATGGAGCTTCTGGGATTCAGCAGAATGAAACAGGCCGCTCAAGCTTTTGATGCCTTCTGGACATAAATTTTGCCTGGATGCCACCACTGCAGACAGGAAGTCACTGGATTCTGAAAACCCTCAGATTATTCAGTAAGCTTTGGACAAAATCAATTCTGCCACTCAGAAGCTGAATCTATGCATCCACTAGGATGAGTGAAAAATCAAACTTGCTCTAGGATATGCCTGTTCTTTTTTACTTAAGATACAGCCTTTTTATTTCTAACATTAAAACCCCTATTGAGTCACGAGATGCGAGAGTCACTGTTTGAAGAGTTCTGTCTCCAGTAAAATCACCTAACCAGGACCGACCAGCCAGTCACTGGGGAGTCCAAAGCGGAGGAAGCGAGTGGCCAAAAAGAATTAAAGAGAACCCCAAAACTGACTGCATGTTAAAAACAATGATGTAAGAAAATACTCATTTGTGTAGGTGCAAGTGCTCTGTTTTGTGGCACTTGCATGACATGGCAACAGACCCTTTCAATAAACCTTTCAACAATCCCCCTTCTCCACTCACCCCTCAAATAAAAATGCCTCACCACGCAAAAAATATACGGTATATGGTTTCTTAATGTAATTCCTCCTACACCTGCACATTCTTCAGATGCACCACAACTTGTTGCCAGCTCCTGTGATACTATAAAAGGAGGATGCTATCGGGTTCTTTCTGGTCAAGAAATGGGAGCACATCTTCAATAGTGTGAGAATGAGAGACCTGGTCACAGGGTAAGAACTCAAAAACTGAAACTTACTTAAGTTTTAAGTTTTGGATTAGTTTGGCAGAAAGGAAGAAAACACCTTTTTGGCATATTGGTGAAACCTCCTCAGATGCAAACAGATTCAAAGCAAAACGTTAAGTTAAAGGAAATAAGGGTGCCACTTGTCCTCCTCCCAACCTTTTTAAGGTTAAAAGCTGTTTGTTTAACCTTTTGTAATCTGTAGTAATGGACAGGAACATCCTCCAGTAGACAGGACTCCTTGATGAACTTCAGCACCGCTTCTTTAACAGGCAGACCTTGCTGCTCTCGGTGCATCTCCGGAGCATGCTTCAAGATGTAGTCACTCCCCCTCTTTGCAATTACCTGCCCACAAGGGAACAAATGAGGTCAGCAGGTCTTCAGCAATCCCAACCAAGTAGGAACAAATGTAAAAATAAAAATATCACTGACATGACACCCAGATAACAGAACAAATGTTTTAAATCCCAACCAGTCTGTTTTTACATTTATCCAGAAGATGGCATCTTCAGTCATTAACTTTATGGAAGTCATTATATGCAAAGGTCACAGGTCTTTGGAAGTCAGCCTTTGTATTCTTATGTCTTAACCATGCTTTATTATTCTGGTTGTGGTAGCTGCTGATAAAAAGTTGCAGTTGGATTGTGAAGCGTTTGCTCCGATGCCCTCAGGGCAGGGAGAGAAGAGTCTCCCTGTGTGCCAGAGTTTACTATTTGCAATAATAAATCACCCACATGCTTGCCTGGGGCTGTGGCTTAGTGCATCAGAGCTGCGTTGCTCAGCCTTGGCCTTTGGAATATTTGCAAGATTAAAAATTTACCATGATAAGACAGACTGAAAACTGCCTTATAAGTAATCTGTCAAACCCACCTCTTTAAACCCTCTGGAAGCTACCTAACACCAAGCCTATGTCATCTGGGAATTTCAATTCCCACGGTCTGCAGATGGCTCAAGGGAGGCAGAAGTGTACTGTGCTGGGGAGGACTGAAAATTTCTGCAGAGTGGTAGGTTGGGGCTCACAAATATAAAAGGAGTCCAGACTTGTCCTGCCTCCTTGCTGCAATCAAGCTTTGAACCCTTCCCCCCCCCCCAACTCCCTTCCTCAAGCTTGGAAACAGCCTGGACTAGCAAGGAAATAGGGGCAGAGACTTGATGAGACTTTCAGGCTAGTGGCAGAAATCAGTAAAACCCAGGCTTCCCAAAACCCAGTCAGTACCAGCACACTGCCTTTCTCTCTGTCATTTACTTTGCAATCACATAACAGCTCAGTTATGTATTGTCTATGCATGGCAGGAGAAGTAGCAGCAAAGGGAGCATTCTGCACAGGAACTGTACACACAAACACGTTTGTGCTTATGTGCAAGATAGTAAATGGCCTGAATCACTGACAGCATCAATGGCCTGAGGCAAATAGAGTCAGTCATAAGTTTAAAAAAAGGCTTAAAATGATATAATAAGCTACAGGTTCAGTGACCAGCAAAGCCTGGTTTTGTTTTTTTGAGGTGAAAAGGCATAAAACCATACAAACACTTCAAAAAAATGCAGAAATAAAAAAGGAGCAATTGCAGTTTTTTTTCCCCCCTTACAAACTTCTCAGGCAGTTGTGATCCCTGAGACTAACCCCAGGGGGGTCACAGTGAAACACTCAGTTAAGTCGATATGAAAAAGGTACGGTGTTTTCCTCTCATGTCTGTTCTCATCAATTGGCATTTCCCCTCAACATGCAACTAACCTGAGGTTTAGCCCATACAAACCACAAGTCATAAAAAAGCAAAGGCACTAAAGATAAATTTATTTACTTCCAGGGCATGGAGGTTTTGGGGGGGAGCATGACTTGGATTGAAACAAATATGCTTCAAAACAAATTTCTGTAAACATCATCTCTTAACTATAGGGTTCAAACTGGGAAAAAACTAAAGCCTCAACTGAAAAAATACCCTGCTAGCCTCTTTCTATTTACACAGGCACATTTCATCACAGATAGTGACTACTGAAAGTGCCAATGATTCTGAAACAACTTACCCATTGAGGAAAGTAGGCCTGAGGTTCAAAATATCTCCCCACATGGACATGCTCCCTGTAGTTGCCCAAGTCTGCCTGCAAACCATAAGCAGCCAGCAGGAAGTAGATTTCTTCTTTGTGGGTACATCGAGATCTCAACACCTGCTCCTTAAGATGGTAGTAGTACAGCTGCCTTGCTACCTTGTCACTGCCAAACACAGAAAATAGCTTTGCTTAAGCAACATCTAGAGAATGAGTTTAATGCATCTTTGATGTGTGCAAAATGTACTTTCAAAATTGTATGGTAGTAGTCTCTAGTCAGGGTCAAGGTCCCTGCTGCACCAAGCACGGTACAAAACACAGCAAATAATAGTCTCTCTACTAAAGAACTTACAGTCTAAATCAATGGTGTTAAGCCTCCAGCCCACAGGCTAAATTTGGAGCATGGGACCCTATCATCCAACCCATGGGGCTCCCCAGGGGTCTGGAAATTTGGCAGTGGGGGACAGTGACAGCGTTAATTGCTGTGGCATTGCAAGAGCCCTGCAGGCCACATGGCAGATTGTGCTAACATACAGGGTTGCTCTGCAGCCAGACCTGATGCTAGGGTCACTCCATGCTTCTGCCAACCCCACCTGTGGACCAACCCCACCCATGGGATTAAGCGGGCAAACTGATCCCAAGCCATTCATCCACTCATTTGGGGCAGAAGGTTGTATGCCACTGGTCTAAATAGTCAAAAAGCAGACAGAGGTTTTTGTCTATTTAGCAAAAAGCCCCCAAACACTACGCAACACAACCAAAGGCTCTCACTCAAGATGTGGACAGCAAATACTTAAATATGGGTAAAGACCACCTGAATGCTCTATACTTGTGGCTTGCCCTGGTGTCAGACTTGCAGTGCTGATGCAAATGCACTCTGTCACTTGCTCATTTTTGCCTAAATCACCCTTTGCTTTGCACAGGGTGGTAAGGGCGGTTGCATTTTGAACATTGATTCTGTTCGTGTGGAATATAGGCTATTTGAGTGCAACAATCTTTAAACACGTTAAGCCACTCCTTTTATCCATTTGCAAAAGTGGAGCAGAAACAGGTAACATATACATCCCAGATAAACACAGTGAAAAGTATTAAAAGCAATTACAATTATTAGAATGTATCCTACAGAAAAATATTAGACTGTATTCTAGAGTAATCGTTTCTGTTATTTTGCCAGTGCTGCTCTGAACTCTATCAAAAGGGCATGCGACCACAGGTTTGCTAGCTGAATTCTAGATATACACATAGATAAAGAAAGGAGTAAGGGGGGTTAAGACTTCTACTAGGGGAAAGGAGGAGCAAAGAGAAGATATTCAACACTGAGGTTTCAAATGTGAAGCACCAGGTCTGAAAATACAACTGCCATATTGGCTGTGGGCATAGTTGTCAAACATACAGAAAAATAGCTTGGTAGAAGAATATCAGTAGAACAACAAAATGTAAGGGTGCCCACTACAACCTCAGTAGTAACCGGTCTATATCCAGTCTCAAAGTTGTTAGATCTGAAATAAAAGAGCAGCATTAAATTACCAAATTGTGAGCTAAATAAAAGGTAAAAAGGTAGTTGTAAAAGCACCTTGGTTTGAACCCAAAAGGAGGGAAATCATCTGCTTTTGCTAAGAAGATACACTGAAATAGGCCACATTACCGATCTCCAGAGAATGCCTTCGGGCCAATAACACTGACAGAGAAGGAAAGAGTTCTACAAAAGGAATTCAGTTCTGTTTTTCATCTCAGAGTTTTCTTAGAGAATAAAGTTGTTGCCACAGACTTAAAATTTACCTTATAACCCTTCCATTTTCTACATAGTACTGTACTCTGAAGAAAGCAACAAAAGGAGGGCTGAACTTCTCTGGTCCCTGTAGACAGAGAGAGAGAGAGAGAGAGAGAGAAAAGTTAGACAAATTTTATAGGAGTCAAAAATCTCATTATGCCTTCCTTAGCACTCTCCATTTTGCTTCATATTCCCCACCACTAAAACCTTCTCCCCATGTATCCTTATTTTCCAGAGGCTCACAGTGAAGTAGGGCTGGAAGGGACCTCCTGAGGTCATCTAGCTCAGCCCCTGCTTGAGGCAGAATCATCCCTGACTAAATCATCTTACCCAATTGTCCATTTAACCTACTTGTGGAAATTTCCACAATTTTTCTAGATAGTTTGGTCCAATGCTTGAGTACCCTTACAGCTAAAAAGTTCTTCCTAATCTCCAACCTAAATTTCTTCTGCCGCAGAAGAGTCTATCTCCATCCTCTCCTCTCTTCAGTTATTTGAAAACTGTTCTCAAAGCCCCCCTCAGTCTGGTCTTCTCCAAACTATATAACCTTTACTCCTTCAGCCTCTCCTTGCAAATCATGCTTCCCAGGATTCTGATCATTTTTGTCTCACTGCTGGACTCCTTCCAATCTGCACACATCGTTTTTTTTAAGTGTGGGGCCCAAAAGTCAACATAAAACTCCAGGCAAGGCATCACCAGTGCCAAGTACAGAGGAAGAATAATTTCCCTTGATTTGCATGTGCTGCTCTTTTAATACAACACAGTATGCTGTTGGCTCATATTCAGCTTACGGTCCACTGCAACTCGTAAGGTCCTTCTCTGAAATACTGCAGCCTAGCCAAACATTTCCCAGTCTGTATTTGCATATACAATTATTCTGTCCCAAGTGCAGGACTTTGCACTTGTCCTTGTTGTTCAGAAGTTTTCTTCAGAAAGTTTTCCACTTCAGAAGCACCCTTGAAGCCTGAATCAACAGGGCGTTACAATAAATCAGAGCAAGCAACTAGTTATGCCTCTAAGCCTTTCTTATACCTGCAGCCTATCCATCCCATACTCCCATTCCCAATGAAAGTCCAAATGAAGCGCTGTGCAGAAATACCCTGGGTACTGGGTACTAAAGGCATGTTAGTGAGGGAGTTCTGCATGCACTAAGTTTATTCAGATGAGAAGCTAGGTAAATTAGCTTGGGTGGAATGCCAACTTACCAGGGTTCAACTGCTCCCACTACCCAAGCTAGCTTCTTTAGAGATAGCTTGCATACCTCTAAGCCAGAGATTCTCAGCCAGTGTGCTGCCAGGTATTTAAGGGTGCCATGGGGTGCTGTTTAATATTAGTACTATTAGGTATACAAACACCTACATGTGATACACAAGATAAACCCAGGGATTTTTTTCATAGGAATTCAGTGTCAAAAACATTATTTTGCTCTGGTCTCTCTCAGATCTTTACAACAGAAGAACTGCTCTATAATTTTTCCATAGTCAAACAATGAGTGAAAATTAGGAGCTGGCACTTTCCAAAGGGTGCCTTGAGTCGAATGAGGGGTGCCTTTTATCTTATGAGGCTGAGAACCATTGTTCTACACCAGTAGTTCCCAACTTTGGAGACAGCAATGATAAAAAAAGGGGGTTGCAAGGACACTTGACAGTGTTGATGGATTATGATGAAAAGCACAGAAAGTGGGAAAATGTGGGTTCCCCTTGCAGGTTGGGAGAGTCCCAGCCTGCAAGGGGCTGCTTGGGGCTGGGGGGAGTGGGAGGATGGTGACCAGGCAGGGGCCACCATGTGCATGTGTGCACACACACATACCTGGCAGCCAGGCAACATGGAGAGCAGCTCCCACAGTTCCCTCCAGATAAATCCATGGGGGAGAAGGGGGAAAGAGAAGAGGACAGATTGGGACCCCCCCACAGTGAGGGAGTGGGGCAGAGCTGGGACTGGGGGAGCAGGATGAAGCCACAAGTGGCTCATCTGGGGGACAATGGGTGGGCAGGGGGAGGTGCTGGCTCCCCACTGTTGCACACACTTCCAGAGAAGGACGCAAGGGGGGGCACATGCCCCCCAGATTTGCATGCAGGGCAGATGTGGACTCGCCTCCCTGCTGACCTGCTCCTCTTGTGCTGCTGGCAGACAGGGGGCATCTTGCCATGGTGGTGTGGCCAGCATGAGGCTCCCAGCAGTAGCACCAAGCTTCCCCATCCTGCTCTGACCCCCCTCCCCCCACTGGACCACGGAGGCTCCCACAGGAGGGAGGGCAGCATGGCAGGGAGCCCTGAGCCTGCAGTGAGCACCCTCCCCCTACAGGCTCCACTTCAGCTGTACCACCCACAGGGGACAGGGGAGTTTCTCATCTGCATCATTTTGGGGTTGCAAAAGATTTCCAGTGTTTAAATGGGACCATGCTGAAGAAAAGGTTGGGAAGCACTGTGCTGCATCATGCAGTACACATGCGCCCCAAATGTTCTGAAGCATGTTGAACCTTTGCTGCCCACAGCTGTGGAAGTATAGTCTGCTGCTGATCACTTGTCTTTTGGCAAAAGGTGCCACCCTGCCCTGCCCTCTTCAGACCAAGGGTAACCACTTTGCTCATTTTTTGTTAAGCAGAGGTAGCGTTTGGTTATTCAGAGCTTGACATAGCCACGATCTCAATGGAGACATGACAACCCATTTGGTTATTACAATTATGGACTACTGTAGCTTAGTTTAAAAGGAACAACACTTAGATTTTTTGTTTGAACTGCAATCTCCCTCAGGATCTCACAGGAAAATAAGGCCCAGTTAGCTTCATGCTGATTCCCAGCTCCTCATCTACACCTTTCATCTATTTTACTGTTCAGATATGCAAACATTAACGCACAGAACATTACTCCCCGAGCAGACCCAGCTCTGGAGGGAAAGGGCCAGTTTGGTTTTTTGTACATAACATGATGTGCACATCTGTGGTGCCAACAGTAACACCTCCATCAGCAGGGAATTTGTTTTGTTTTGTTTTTTTTTAAATTCAGTCACAACACGTAATCATTTTGCAGAAGGTATGACAAGACCATTTTGTTGTCACTGGAGGGAAAGGAGGAGGATCTAGACAACAGGGAAGTGGAACGCAGCTCAAGAAACTGAGTCGGTTTCTGCCTCAGATTCCTGTGTGGCCCTGTGCAAGTCACAGGACCAGAGGAAAGTACAGCGGGAACAGGCATTATGAAGTTATCTAGTCCAGCCCCCTGCCCAGGGCAGGATCATCTCTAATTAAGTCATCCCAGCCAAGTATCTGTCTAATCTCCTTTTCAAAGTGTCCACAACTTCTCTAGGAAGCCTGTTCCAATGCTTGACCATCCTCATAGTCAGAAAGTTCCTCCTAATCTCCGACCTCAATGTCCTCTGCTGCCATTTCCAGCCACTGCTTCCAGGCCTGCCTTGTATAGCCACAGTCATGCAGTACCTTTGTGTGTTCATACCCCCATGGCAGTGGGAACTGCAAACATATTCAGTGAACAAAATTCAATTAAGGGTCTCTGTTAAGTTTCAGACATGTCTGTACTCAAGTATCATATGCCGTACCTCTATGCTACTCTATGATGTATAAAGAACATGGGGTAGGGGAATTTGCACATTAAAAACAAAATCCAAACTTGACAGGCAGAATCATTTGTGTAAGGAATGAGGCACATGAGCCTTATTTCATTCAATTTTTTTCTTGACATTTAAGCTAACATTAAGAAACGTAGGCTCTTATTAATGGAAATAAGCATCCTTCCTACTATTATTGCTCTTCTGCATGCTTTTGAAGAACAATTGCACCTACATCTCCAGTACATTAAGTTTAAGTGCCCTGTGGCAGTAGGTTATTTTGAGCAGCTGTACAAGGTCCTTTAGGGCTGGTCTGATTTTGTGTAGGAGGCATTCCCAAGTCTTTTCATGGAGTGGATCATGGTCAAAAGGGAGACTGACTAGCTGACCTCCTCCCTTCAACTGAACAACATAATTGTGGTGGCACAATTATCTCTAATTGTAATTACCTATAACATAATCTATATGTCACTGCAGGGCATGTGAAGATGACAACAACTGAATAACATCCCTGTGCCAGCTACAACATGGACTTAGTACAAGTGTAAAGTAATTAATGGCATTTTTGCTTCTTTTAATGCAGTTTAGCATCTGAAAATGGGGAGTCCTAGCCCCAGGTGACTAACCAGCTCTCCATAGAGCCCCAGTATAGACCTCAGTGTGAGAACTTGCTTTTAATTAAGTTAGGGCAGCATTACAGTAACAGTCTTCAAAATTCAAACCTTTTGGCTTACTTTACTTGTCTCCTTTTTCCAGTCCTTTGAGAAATACTTGCTAAGCTTCTGCTCCAGGTCCATAAACACATATTCATTGTCTGAAAAAGACAAGAGGAAAAAACAGTGGCTGTTGCAGAAATGGAAATCATCTTCTGAGAGAGGCTTTGAGGAAAGCGTGCATAACAGAGCTTTCCAATGGTGCATTTGAATAATAGTAAAAGTAACCTCAGAGTTGGACTGGACAGGCACCAGTGAGGGAATACAGGGAGGGCACAAGGAAAAGGGTCTTTGTTCTCTGATCGTATGTTGCTTTGCCCATGGGTGGAGGGTCACATATAGACCTAAATCTTGCGAGCTGCTGAACCATAATGGAGGTGCCCCAGCATCTTCCACAATCACACCCAGTGCTTGCTTTTTCAAGTTAACCCATCATATCAGGGACAAGTAACAGCTTACTGAGCCAATCTTAATTGTTAAACCAGTAGAGCAAAATCAGTTTTACAAAGGAAAGCCTCATCAACCTCCCATCTTACTCAAGCTGGTATATAGTGCATCACCATCATAACATGGGTAGGGCAAGATGGGAACAACAAATAGGATCTACTCCCTCACATATTTCTTACCCAGTTGTGGCCCTTGAGTGAAAAACAGATAGAGACTCCTCCTCCAGAATGTGTCATCAAAACTGGAAACTTAAAAGCTTGTCATTTCCCCAATTTTCCTCATATGTTTGGGGCAATGCAGGGTAAGAAATGGAGAAAACCTGACTATCATGAATAAACAGAGCATGTCACCTCCAGGACCCTGTGAACAACAAGCATCTTCAAACTGCTCCATGGTCTTTTCAAACCTAATCTAGTTCCACAACCAATACACTAAAATCAAATCACAATTCAGCCACAGAAAGATGTTGTCCAACTCTTCTCCAGTCTCTTCAAAAAGAGAACTCATAAATATTTCAGGCTTCTCAGGTACTACCAGCTAAGCACGTTCATGTGACCAGTCAGTCTACTCCCTGTTCTCATTTAGGAAAAAGTTATCAGAAAGGACACAAGTACCAAAGGAAAGAACTAAAAAACCTGAAATGGGAGTTAACCCTCCCACCCCCAAACTTAGAAGCTTTGGCTTCTTGTCTTGTCCAAAGCTGAGCTGAAGAGGTGGGGTGTCTAGTCCAAAGCTGAGTTTAAGAGGGGGGAGAGGAAATGGGAAATACAAATTCATCAAATTTAGCTCATTCTCTTTGATGCAACACGAAGGTGAATGGAAAGGACAGTAGCATACACAGATAAACCTTTGGCCACATTATGGACTGGAGCATGTTTGAAAGCCATGGATTGCCCTAAATTACACCACAGCTATTTGATTTCAAAGGAGCTCATCCTCACAGAAAACTTTTCTGCATCCGTGTTTCTTTTTCAACAGACATTAAAATCCTGCAAACTAACCATCCAGGTTAACTAGAACTGTTCCATACTTTACTAAGAGAGGACAGATGGTGCGATTATAAAGAGGATGGAGATAGCCTTTTCCTGGTGGCTGTAGGGTATGGGACTAGGAGCAATGGCCTCAAACTGCAGCAGAGGAAATTTAGGTTGGAGATCAGGACAAACTTTCCGATTCTCAGGGTGGTGAAGCATTGAACAGGCTCTCTAGTGAAGCGGTGGAATCTGCATCCTTGGATATTTTCAAGGGCAGGTCATCCAGACACTGGGCTGAGGTTTAGGTAAGGGTGATCCTGCTTTGAGCAGGGGCTGGACTAGGTGACTTCAAAAGGTCTTTTCCAGCTCTACTTTCCTATATTTTAGGATCATAAAGAAATTATGCCTTAAGTAATTTCACAGATGCATCCTTAAATTATGCAGTACTTCCCCACAAAACCCTTGGAGTCTCCCAAGGGCAATCCAGTCCAATGAGTAGGCAGTCACCCATGTTATTTGTAGACAGAAACACTTCACAGAAGAATCAGAGATGGGGCATTATGCTCTGGGATGCCCTGACACCGAGGCCTATGAAGGAAGACAAGCGGACAAAACAGTTGCACAAAGATGATGAGGGGCAGTTCACACCTACTGCGCTCAACTATTTCTGCAACTGGGCTGAACAGGTGAAAGAGACAGCCTAGTCCACAGCCTGCGGCAGGGGCAAAATATTGGCCAGCCAGAGCTTTAGCTACACTGCGCACGTACATAAACCATGGTAAGAGGTAACAAATACTGGCCACAGCACCTAGGGGCAGCCCTCCCTGCCTCTCCCCCTCTTCTCCAGCTGGCCTGGACTCCTCTTGGTCCTCCCTTCAGCCCAGGAACGCTACATCACATTCCTCCTTTAACCACGTTAATACACTGGAATGCCAACCCGCAGTGTAATCCTCAATCTGCAAAAACAAAGAGGCTTTTTCTCTCCCTCCCCTGTGCTCAGTACATGTATTTTTTTCTGTTTTAATGGATTAGCAACAAAGCTTACAGATCTTTGTCAGCTGGTTAAGTTGTCTGTGGTTCAGATGTACTCCATTTTGCAGAGGTGCACAGAAGCATCAAGTACATGGGCCCTCCCCCCGGCCTTGGCCCCCCTCGGGAAGGGGGCTGTCACCTGAAATGTGGAAAGTTTTTGCACATGTCCATCATCTTAGGCCCCCCTGGCAAAAACAAAAAAGTCAGCACCTGTAGAGGTGTGGACATAGTCCTGCCTACTGAAGAACATAGCCAGAAGGAACTGCTTGGAAATGCAGTTACCATTTCAGGGGGACTCCAGTGCAATTCCAAAGGGACAGGGCCAGGGACTCTGCCTGTGGGGGTTGCCCTAACTCAGCCGGTTTGAAAAAAAGAGCTATGAATTTAAAGCAAATGGAGGACCTGACCCCTGCAGGCCTGTTCACATGCACACCCAGGTCCTGCAGTTATAGCATTTGTTGGATTTTATGGAGACACTACAGCTACTCTGTAAAATGACAGACCAGCACTTCTTATGCTCAAATTCTTTAAGGAACATGGCAGAGAAGGGAAGCATCTTAGAAACTAAACTCAGAGAGGCTTATGATTTCATGCTCTTGATGTACATGGGAGCGACTGCTACAGTCAAAGCAACTTGCATTTCACCAAGGCAGCGCAGGGCCAAGAAATTCACCTGTGTCTCCAGGTATATTGCAGCACTGCAGCTGACACATTTTTTTCCCCTCACTCAAACCTGGCTTTTAAGAGCCCTTCGAAATGGCATCCCTGAGTGTCTCAATATCAATTTTACCTTTGTGACAAGGCAGTCTCCTCTCAGAGACTCTGGCTACATACGCAACTCTTACGCCAATGCCACGAAGAAATTCTTCAGGCCTCAGGAAAGCAAGAGACCAGTGCTGATCAAAGCCAGAACTCTGCCCAAACTGACAACCCTAAGTGCTTTGTTAAGTCATTTGATTGCTTGAATTATATTACAAGAGTAAAACTAATCACAAAGGCAGGCATCCAGGAGATTAAGATGCAGATAAATGCAAATTACTGCAAGGATGGACTTCCACATAGCAAACATCTTGCTTTTAAGCAAGGCACAGTGCCCTTTGCTGCATCACTTTTTAACTTCCTCCAGGTGTGTTCCAGTAAGCTTGGACACATCAAAAGCATTCTCCACCTGGTAAAGATGAAGACCAATGCTCTCATTTAGATGTACACTGCTCAAAAAAAAAAAAAAATCACTGGGAAGACAGGCTAGGATGTGGTAAGAAGAACACAGGCAAGTTGGAACCAAAGGCGATTCAACTGATGGGCCTTCAGTAGTTTTCATCCATGATGTTAGTACCCTAAAACAGGGGTTCCCAATGTTTTTATGTGCAGGACCAGCAAACACTGGCAAGCCGCAGACCAGCGGTGACTGGTATACTGCGGGCAGGCAGCCAACCCTTTTTTATGCTCAGTATAAAAAAGGGTTGGCTGCCGGTCCGCAGTAAGCCAGTCACTTCCAGTCCATGGTTTGCCAGTCTGTGGTCACTTCTGGTCTGGCAGCCAGCCCTCCTGTAGGCCGGCAGCCAACCCTTCATGACCCGGCACCCGGCCATGACCTGGAGGTTGGGAACCCCTACACTAAAAAAAACTGTTGGATCAATTGTTTTAAATTACAGAACTATTAAGGTCTTCACAATATCCAACATACCCCATGCCTATATGCTAGACAAATTCTAGACACACTACCTTACCACCACAGACCTCTGGAAAGGCGAGATGCAAGCAACCTAGGACTCAGATACCAAATTGGAAATACCTTCGGTAGGATGTTTTGCATTCCTTCTTTATACAGAAAAGGTAAAACAAGGCCTCATCCATCTTTTTGCATTTGGTAGATCAATTCACTGACAGGAATGAAGGAAAGTGCCCTGGTATATATCAGTGCCATTGTTTACACTTAGCCAGATCTGATTGGAGCGTGCACCTGAGGTCAGCAAAATGCTCAACTGTGTTCTAGAAAGAGAATTAACTGTAAGAGGTGGGGGAAAGAGTCCCGTAGCAGCTGAGCTGGCACATCTAGGATTGACAGTAGAGCAGAGTCAGCAAAACCAGTCTCTCAAAAATCAAGATACAATGCTAAATAAGAAAGAAACCCTTACTATAGAGCCAAACAGGAAAAAGAAAAGCTGCCTTGAAGAAAAAAAAAAATATGATTAACAAAAAAGGAGCATCTTCCAACAGTGTGGGTACTAGGGCTGTGTGAAACACTATTGCTTTGTTTCGATGTCCGTTTCGCCATTTTGAAGGGACAGTGTTTTGTTTCATCAAAACTGTTTCGACGTTTCGCCCGTAAGCTATAATGGGGAATCATAAAAGTGCCTAAAATGTTGTCATTTGTTGCCTAGTTAGGATGCAAATTGCAGGGATGGAAGCCCCTTCTGAGGGCATGAAGCCTGCCAAGTTTCAAGGAGATAGGTGCAGAGGTTTCTTGGAAAGTGCACCTCAAATTTGCTGGCAGAGGTAGCCTCCTGTCATCCAGGTGCATATCCGGGGGCCCGTACCCCCAGGAGGGCTGTGCCGGACTACTCCTGGGGGTGCGGACCCCTGGATCTGTGCCCCGGATGACAGGAGGATACCTTGTCACCTGGGACCGGTGCACACTGAGCCCA